CCCCGCGTACCCGTTTTTTTTTATTTATGTATTTTTCACCCCCAAAAGAGCATTTTAGCGGTTGACCCATCGGGGACCAGCAGGCCCGACCCGTAGCAGGACTCTAGCCTGTGGTGACTGCACAGCAGTGGCAGACAAGACGCCAGCCATTTCAGCATGGAGTATCAGCAAAAACCATCCACATCAACTTGCAGTAATCTCTCTCTACTTTAAATATGATAAGCATATTTTTGGATGAAAAATTAAAAAATTAGAAAAAATTAGCAGAAAGTAATGAGACCTTTTTTTGTTTGTTTTTTTATTGAGGTTTCAACGGGACTAATGGGCCGTTCGTTTTTTTAACAGCAGGCTGACAGGAAAGGAGCTACAAGAGAGGGAGAAAGACATGCAGCAAAGGACTACAGGGCGGATTCAAACCCGGATCAGCAAAGTCGAGGACTAAAGGCCTCGTACATGGGCTGTGTGCGCTAACCACTGCAGCACCAAAGCACACCCCAACTATAACTGATTTGAAATGTTCCAGAAATGTGTGCTTCCTTTTAGGCAAAAAAGAAGAGATTACGTGCATGTTCAAAATAATGAACATCAATATTATTTCTTGAACATACCTTCAAGGCTATATCTGTCTATTTTGTTTAACATAGATTTATATATCAAGGATTTTTTTATATATATCGGTTCATCTTTAAAGAGAGCAAATTACCATCCCTCCGTAAAGATGCATTTTAAACTAAAAAAGCCAAAGCCAAACATTAATTGCACATTTTAGAATACCTTGTCATTAGCAGAACTCCCTTTCGCTGATTGATTATTACATTGAAAACTTCTAAATTAACAGAATAATAAACAGATAGCAAAAGAAACTTTTGTAAAGTATTATTACAGGATTTGAGCTAAATGAAGCTGAATCTCTGCCATGAGGGGCTCTGGCTAAAGTATTCTGACAAACGAAGACGGTTTACATATTAGAAGCAAGACGTCAATATTCATCTGTACAATAGTGGCTAATCACTGCTCGGAGTGGCAGTGATTACTGAATTATTTAAATTATTGATTTATCCAATTTACTGCTATATCCCCACAAATCAGCTTTTAAATTCTAACTATTGTTATGTTTCTGTTTCTGTTATGTTTTTCTTTTTATATTCAGTTTTGCTTTGCTCTTTGTTTTATAGGTTTTCTTATTTTGTTGTGTTCCTGGGGTTTTTCTTAGTAACTGTCTCAGTCTTGGTACTGTTATATTTTCTTTTTAATGTTCAGTTTTGCTTTACTCCTTGTTTTCTAGTGTTAGTGGTTTTATTTTTATTTTGCTGTGTTCTCTGGTTTATTCTTAGTTACTGTTTCAGTCTTGGCTCTGTTATGTTTTTCTTTTGAGTGTTCAGTTTTGCTTTACTCCATGTTTTATAGTCTTAGTGGTTGAATTCTTATTTTGTTTTTTTCTGGTTCTGAGGTTTTAATTTGTTGCCCTCTGCTGCCCTCTTGAGTTCTCCTTTTTTTCTCTAGCTCCTTTCTTGTTTCTGCTCTGCTCACACCTGCTCCTAATCTGCTCGTTAACCCTCTCTTTGTGTCAGTCTCCTACAAATACTCTGTCTGTTCTGTTCTTCTTTGCTGGGTCCTCGTCTAACCTCCTCCCACTCCGTCTCTCTGAGCCTTCCTCTTCTAGATTGAACCCCCCCTGATGTCTCCATGGTTTCTGGTTTGTTTTTGACTTTGTTTTCATGTTTTGATTTTGTGGATTTTGGATATTTGGACTCCTGGTTTTCAGTTTGTTTGGACTTAGTTTTTCATGTTTGGATTTTTTGATTTCCAGCCTCTGTTTTCTGTTAACCTTCATTAAACCCACAAGTAAATCACCCCTGCCTCACTGCCTCTGCATTTTGGTTAATCTATCCACTACCAAATCTTGACAACTATACAGTTGGATCTAGCTTGCTTTGCATCTTTTAGCATTTCTAATGCTGTTACCTTTTGGTTTTGGTTCATCTTCTTCCTCCTCCTCCTCCCCTCCACATTCACGTGGAGCATAGTTCATGAGGTTCTGCACAACATGTGAGCCAACCAGGGCAAGGTGACCGAAGGCCCGATGCTCCACCACAAACACCGTCAGAGGAGGGTGGAGGTATGACTGCTCTGGAAGCTCCTGATAAAACCAAAGAAAGAAACTAGTTTTTTTTTAGTTTTTTTGTACATTTCTAGCTCTGGGAACCTCCAGTTTACAGACCTCCATTATAAACAGGTGAGAAAAATAAGATGTAGAACAAGAACATCATAAAAAAAAAAGAAAAAAAATAATCATTAATTTATAAGAATCCGAGTCCCATTAAAATTCCTGTCAATATTGACTCCTAAAAAAAATCATCATTAACCCCAATGACCTTTTAAAATGTTTATGATTTAATGATATATATAGAAAAATAAATACAGACCACATCAAAGTAGCGGACCACTTCCTTAAAGTTAGGGTTGCTCTTGTAGCTCTGGATCTCCTCAGATTCCAGCTGCTGTCCTGCACACTCCACCCTCACCTGTGGGCGCTCCACCTCAAACAGCTGCACCCGCTTCAGCTCCCGTAGACCCCAGAACAGCACCTGAAAACATAAAACATGAGGGATCCAACAGTGCTCATCTGTGAACATTTAAACCCCCTGTGTGAGCTTAGAGAGCTTCACCTCGATCCTGAAGGTCTTCAGAACAGGTCGGACTCCCTCTGGGATGACATAACATCTCTGCTCCTCGCTGTAGGTCAGCTCCTGGGGATCCACACTAACGGGGAGGCGGGGCTTCAAGGGAGGGAGACGCGCAACAGGTGAATAATCCTAATGATGATCTTATTTAATGTCATTAGTTCTAATTATATAAATACAGACTCATCTTAATCTGACCATAATAAACTATGTCTGCTGGAGTGGACAGACATCATGCTACCTCACTGAACGCCCTCAGTACATGCGGCTGCAGGGCTGTCAGTCAGAGGTGGCAGTATGCACTACCAGCCCCCCCCCCCCATCCATCATAAACAACACCTTCCACCCTCTGCACCAGACTGTAGAGGAGCTCAGCAGCTCCTTTAGTAAAAGACTTTTACACCCTGTCTGTAAAACGGAGCGCTACCGCAGGACATTCATCCCTGCTGCCATCAGACTCTACAATGCGACACTACAACGGCAATAACATGTTCAATGTATAATATGCAATTACTATTTGATAACCTGTGCAATAACCTGTTTATATTTGACACCCAGTGCAATAACTACATATATAAAAATAAATATAAATATCCATCTATATAAATACCCATGTAAACACCCTGTGCAATAACCCGGTATAAGAATCCTACTAAAAAAAAGCTGTGTGGATGCACTGTATATACTGTATTGTATATATCCCATGCTCCATTTTCATCCTTTGGCAAATTCTTCTATTTTGCCTATTTGAGCTGATGTAACAAGTAAATTTCTCCACTGTGAGATCAATAAAGTCAATAAATCAATATGAAAATGGTTTTAAAACAAATTAAGTGTAAAAGATATAATGGACCCCATCAAGTAAAGCTCTAACTTTAATGCATTATTTGTATTGCATGAGAGCCATATAGTTCAATTTCAGTCTCACCTGACCAGAGGAATCTCTTTCATTTGTTTGCTGTCTCTCCAACATCACTGCTGTAAATTGTTAAAGGGAATTTCTATGGCGTTCTTTCAACAATGTATTTTTTCCACTCTTCATTAAGGGATGGGATTATGGAGCATGGAGAATATGGTTTCAGGTCAACAGATTCTTCTATCTAAGCTATGGATGTCTGCAGATCCACGGTTATCCAGAGCCTCTTGGCTGCAGATCTGATTAAAGCTCTCATTGCTATCCTTGGCATTTAAGGTGGACAGTCAAGTCAAGGTAGGTTTGCAGAGGTGCCATATTTATTTCAAGATGATCTGTTAGTCAGTGCTCTATGGGATGTTCAAAGCTCCTTGCTGCTTAAAGTACTTTTTTTTATTAAATCCAACTGGTGGGGTGATTTGCAGTAGCACTGAAGGGGCCCACAAGCTGAAACCTGTTGGTCTGCTGAGGAGGTTTTTCCAAAAACGTTTAATTCGCAGGTGTTCAAAGCTCGATTTAATGTTAATTGTCCTTGCTTCACAATCTAATATCTGATCTGTCTCTTATATTCCTTGATTTTAAAGATTGCTCAGTTCACTAATTGGTTTAATACTAAAGGCAGCTGTTTGAAGTTGATTTATTGAAATAAATAAGAAACAAATCTTTATTTTCATTAGGAAATCATGATGATATTTTGAAGAGACTCCCAAAATAGAATATCTAGAGTACACAAACAGCAAATAAAGAAAAACTTAAAATGTTAAGCACTCTTAGAAAAAATATAAGAATGCCATAGAAGGTATGAACCATATTCAGGAGAAAAATACAAATATATATGGGTAACATGTAGTTTTTAGATAAAGTGCAATGTGTTTCAGAGCACTCAATGGAATAAATTGATGTTCTCTTTGTTTGACAGCAGGGTTGAGTCAGGGTGCATATGAAGGGACACACCCCATAGGGGGTGGTAGAATCAGAGTGGTTACTGATGCACATCGCAAGATATAAGGGGAAATAAAGATCAAGCATAGTCTAAGTGATTTATTCGGTCTCACCTCTCCAAAAGCAGAGTAGTCGAGCTCAATGAGCTCAAAAGCAGCCAGTAGCATTCCAGCAGGAACCCTCCCTCTGATGACATTATGGAAGCGAAGTTTGGGCTTTTCGTAGAACTGCTCCACAGTTTTAAACTCAGGCTCTGCATAAGCTCGACCCAGAGGCTTCGGACTGCCCTGCACAAACACAGGGATCCACAACTTGCTTGAAATCAAGTCTTTACTCTGCTGAGCCATTCTTGTTTAATTAAATTTAATACATTAATCACTGCAGACTTTAAAACTAATTAATGCAACCCTATTAAACATAACTCATTTCATTTTTTCTTTATTGGATTTTTGCACCAAAAAAAAAAAAAAAAAAAAAAAATCATTATTAATCGGAAAGCAACTGTTTAACCCACAGGTGTCAAACTGATTCCCGAAAGGGCCTTGTGGCTGCAAGTTTTCTTTCCAACCAAACAATAGCACACCAGACTTCAGTCTTCTCATCAAGAGAGTCCAATCTGAGCATGATGACTTGATGATATGAATGGAGTCTGGTCTGCTATTGTTTGGTTGGAACCTGCAGCCACACTGCCCTTTCTGGAACCAGTTTGACAGCCCTGGTATAGAACAGATCAAAATATAAAGAATGAAACATCAGAAGAAGAGATTCACAGATTTACCACTGCGTCATGGTCATAGATGTCGATGATGATAAGAGGAGGGTCTTGTTGAAATTGCTCCTTCGTTCCCTCGAGGAGAACTCTGTCAAACAACAAACACTCACACCAGGAAGGGGAGAGTGTGTCTGGACACACCTGTGCAAAGTTGTACAGACAGAGCTCAGGTCATTGTGCACTGGAACAATCTGGACTTTGAAAGCAGTAGAGCAAGAGAACATACCTTGGTGACCTGGCACTGTGTAGAGAAGATCACCTTTGCAAAAGGGTCTGACAGGCCATCATCATCTGCAGCCATAAGGCCACGGCCCTGGTAGAGGTGACACCGTAGCTGGAAGTACCTGTAGTCTGAAAAGAGAAATATTTAAAAGGTTTTCTTGAAACAGACTTTTGATCAATAAGAACGTTTCAATTAACTTAAATCAGTGGACTCACCCTGGCAGGACAGACTGACAGGAAACTTTCTTCTTTCCTCCACAGGAAGGTGTTGTCTCTCCGTCTCCTCCTCCTCCTCTTCCTCATATATAGGCATGAACTCCTCTGGCAGGCTGTTGATCACTTCTTTACTGTACTTTACAAGACCCAGCCACAGGTACACCTCCAGCTTTGCAAAGGTTTCACTAGGTGAGCATCCTGGAGACTATAAGATTGAAGAATAAATCACTTAAACTTCACCTCAATAAGCAGACACAGAATAATGATTTAGGATAGAAACCATAAAGCTTTATGTAAAACGACTGACATCTTGCATATCAGTTTAACCTGCTGTACTCTGTGAGGTGAGCCAAGCCAAATGGAAACATGAACAGATCTCCAAAATCCCTCTCTTTACTGATAACAGTCAGCCAACATACCAAGACTATATATCAGAGGGGAAACTCCACGCCTCGAATGCCAGGGGCAGTGATTGGATAATTATATACACTCTGGAGAAAGTGACTGTATACTGAGTAATAATAATTGAACATTATTGATCTCACATTGGTAAATTTACCTCTGCATTTAACCCATCCCATTAGGGAGCAGTGGGCTGCCGTGGTGGGGTGCCTGGGGTGCAGTGTGGGGTTAAGGGTTTTGCTCACAGACTCATAGTGGCCTTCTATGGGAGTGGGGCTTGAACTCAGAACCTCAGGATTCCAGGCTCTATGCCCTAACCACTAGGCCGCCACTGTCCATAGAAAATTCAGACATTCGATTCAGAGATCAAGGACAAATCTAAATGCTGCAGGATACCAGCCCTCAAGGACTATAGTTACCCACATTGCTCTACAGCCTGAATTTAATTTTGTTTGGTAGCATTTATAGTTTAAAAACAAGTTCCTCTACAGCCACAGCCTTAACACCAATGCTTAGGACTTACTTGAGAACTCTCAAACACCATCACAAAACACTAAAACTTTTTTTCAAAGGTACAAATATGCCATAATGACCTTCATGTAGAGAGTGGTGATGTGGCCACAGTCCCGCCCTTTCTGCTCCTCCACCAATGAGAAGAGGATGGAGTGGGAAGGAATCCTCACGTAAGCCAACCGTTTGCTTCCATTTAGCATCCAGAGAAAAACATCAGGGATGGTGCTCTGAGGCTAGAGGCAGAGATGTCAGAACTCGGTCAAATAATGCGCCATTCCTTTAATTGTTTACAGTTTTTAACACATTTTTGTGTATCCTAACCTCTACCGCCAGTTGGCGAAGCTTCTTTAGGATTTTCCGGCTTTCCTGCAAGTGCTCCTTGGTTTTGTTTCTGGTAATTCGCCGCCTGGCTCTCACTGCCTGTCTGGCTAATAGAACCTATAACCAGTCAAAGAGTCCGTTAGAAACTTGCAGTGGCCTTGTTTAAAAACAGAAACATATCTGAAAACAGACTGACCAAATTCTTTTTGATAAACTCCCTCCTGCATTTATCCAGGCTGTTGGGACGGGACTGAGATCTCCTGTCTGAAAAAGCACTAAACTGTCTGCAGAGCAAGAGATGTAAATAGAAGAGTCCAAACAAACAATCAACCCAATTATAATTGGAAACTCACTTGCAACAAGTCACCAGCTCTAGTAACACCTCAATCAGACTCTCTTTTGCTTTACTCTTGGGCCTCTGCAAGTCCATTTCCACCTTATTGAGACCAATCTCCTAAAAGACAGAAGGAGAGCTTCAGAAACAATGAAGGATTTATTCAAAGCAATTTCTGAGAAACAATTTCAACGAAATAGATGCCCACAAGCCTGTCAGCCATCTTGCTTAACCAGTTGGCCTGATAGAGACGAAAGCTGTGATCTTCAAACTGACTCCAGACATACAGACAAGGCTTTAGATTTGTTGTTGGGGGCTGGAGTGGAATACACTTAAAGGACCTGAAAACAAGGAAAGAGACATTCATAGAGGATCAGACAGTCTTCCATAAAGTAGTGGGATATAACTTTAATAGTCACCGCCCATTTATGGGAAGTATTAAATACTTTAAATACTTTACTTGGTAAAAAAAAATAAAAATAGAGCAAACATTTCTCTAGAGCTTGTGCTGACTGCTGCTTATTGTACATTTCAGCTAACAGTATGATAACAAGACATTCAGCAACAAGGTTCTGGGTTCAAATGTCCCCCTGTGGTTTTGTGAATGGAGTTTGCATGTTTTCCCCATGCATGACTGAATTCTGTCGGGCTTGCTTGGATTCCTCCCTCAATCCAAAAATATGATCATTAGATTAAGCTCCCACCAAATCACACATAGTTCTGACTTCCTCTGTGGCTGGTTGGTTCTTCCATATTTCCAAATGTTGCATTGTGGACAAGGGACAATAATGCCTTATAAGTTTCTTATCAGAAATGTTATTGGTTGAGTATTTCATTTAAGCTTTTTTGGTCTATTTCTGTGAACCACAATAAAAAGCAGCACCATCACTTGCATACTTTCACTGCTTTAATGCATTCTTTTTTTCCCACTGGTATTTTACTGTTTTAAATGAGTTTCTGCATTAATAGAAGTATTACGGGCTGATTTTTGATTCAGTTGCAGTTATATCTTACTATAGGTTTTGAAATTGGTCAGTTTTACAAGTAGCTCTAAAATATCTACTAAACACCTTACCAGCTAGGCCATGAAATCGACCCCTTGGTTAGAGGGTAAAGAGTAGAGAAGATGTGTTGTGAAGCCATGCTTTATGTCTTGGTCCTTCACAAATCAATTGTAAATAAGTAAATGATACAGAACAGCAGCCACTGTACAGCATTAAGTCTACTTTAGGTTTCTCTTTCTGAAGAAAACGTCTGAATATGATGATGCATGGATCATATCTTCTGAAATGCTAAAGTGGAAAACTTAATTGACAGCAAATTTCTTATAACCTTTACCTGAGAACCACAACTGTGCAAAATACCTTTTTCAAGTTAAAGTATAAGTGATTCATGAAGCTTAATCATTTTTAGAGCACTTCCGGAACAAGGAATTACCGTAAACATATCTTTTCATTGGGCAGCTCTATAGGAGTCATCTGCTGAATTAATGTCTAATCACTAACCCGTCATATTCAGTGGGCTGAGGTCTCATGGGAGAAGACACAGATCTGTTCTCGGGTTCAGGATTCGTCATCTCCTCTCTGTCCAACTCATCCTCTGACTCCAACAGACCATGAGTTTCCTCCGTCAGATCTTCTCTGCTCCTCCTCAGCTCCTCCCTGCTCTGGCTTTTCTTTGACTTCCCAATTCCCATTGCCTTCCCATAATTTCCTGCAAATACAAAAACAGATTGGGAGTTTAGACCATTTGTTCCACTTTTGGAAAAGTTATACCAATGTGATATTGGTTTGTTCATTCTTTTTCTTCCCCATTCTTCTGAGAGGAATTGGGGTTGAGGAAGAGGAAAGAAGGAAACAAATGGAACAATAAATACCGTAGTTGGGATAATCAAATAAAGGGGTAGGGTTTTAGAGATCAGTATGACAAACTGAATAGAGTATAAGACTGTACCACCTTTTGTGAACATAACAGATGCATTTTTTTTTTTTTTTGAGAGATGCATATTCTTCATGTTGTCCCTTAATTAAAAATTTGAATAGAAAAAAAAAATTGACAGACTTCTGACGTTTGAGGCCAATATCTTCTAAAATGCATATTCAGTGAAAATTAAAATCTACACCAAAAAAACTGACAAAAAATTACAGAAAGTTAATCGTTATGACATTTATTTCTTACCAAAATAATTGTTAGTTTTGCAATTAACTAACAGAAATCAGTTTTACTATGTAGAAGTCTTTAGGAGGTTAATGTATTGATAATAAAAAGCATACTATACAACATTTACCAATAGAGAGTTCAAAGGTCAGAGGTTTGGTTCCTACTGTCGGGTCAATCATTGTGACTTCAAACAGAGATGCAAACAGCAGAAACTCTTCCTTCTGTCCCAGATAACCCTGGGTGAAAAAAAACTATATTTATTGTACAGTAACAGAATTTACTCAATTTCTACTGAACATCCACAGTACACATAGAATTAAATAAAATCTCAACATTAAAATGACAGGAAAAAAAAATAATAATTTTTTTTTAATTAGCAGCAAAGATGATGAAAGCTAAAAGATTCATAAATTATAAGTTTGTATAAATTTAGAGTTTATGTTTTAATCTTAATTATTCTGTAAAGTGGAGATTTAAATAAACTTTGTCTTTTAACTGCTACTCTCTTTCAAGGCAAATAATTAAAATGGATGGGTGAGAGAAACTACTTTGCATTAAACATTTAATCAAATAAGCATTTTTCAAATATTTAATGATGTGTTTTTATTATCTAATATCAAATATCTTCTAACAATATTTGACTGATTCAACCCTGATAATAATGATGTTACTGCTACCTTTCTAAACCATACTGACCTCAGGCAGAGGATGGATCTCCTCAACCTCCACAGTCACAGACTCTGGTACCTCAACTCCCGCCTCTTCAGACTCATCAGCTAATTCGATTGTAGCTGAAGCGGCTTTGGCAGCAAAAAGTACAAAATATATACATATATATTTTTCTGATTTGCTCCTTTTTAGCCAATGAAGATGAAAATAACAGTGTTAAAGCTATTGAATAGCTAAATTAGTTTGCAGCCAAGGTACATTATCATCATTGAATATAAAACTGTCAAATATCTTATTCAATCTAACCTTCCTTCTTTTCCTTCTTGCTCCGTTTTTTCTTCTTTCTTCCAAACTTACCCAGTGCCCCTTTCACCTTAAAGAGTCCAAACAATAAAGTTACAGTTAATAAGGCATTTATTTATTATCACACTGTCTTGTGAGAACTACCTTCCCGGCTGCAACAGAGCCAGTATCTGTGGGGATTGCAGAGGGGGAGGAATAAACATCCATGGAGAGGGCCAGGAGGAGTCGACCTCGATAGAAGATTCCTTCACCCAAACCCTCATTCAAGGCCTGAAAAATGAATCAAACTTAAACATTCTTCCTGTTTTCCTTCATAAGATAGCTGAAGAAAAGTAGGTTTTTCATAATATATATGCCCTAAAATACCTTCATGAAAACTTAGCTCATTTTTAAAGATGGAGCCATTGTTTTTTAGTTATTTCTGAAATACGCTATTATGTAAAAATTAGACTATGGAGTTGGTAGTTTCACTTTAAATAAGTAAGATAAACCATTTACATTTGCAGTAAATGGTTAGTTCATCTAAATGTACTTTACTTTTTTTTTTTGCAATGTTTTTATCTTTCTGTGACACACTTTGGTCTTCCTGGTGTTGTTGTAAAGTGCAATATAAATAAACTTTGATTTAATTTGATTTGATTTACCTGATGGACGTCTCCCAGGGTGGAGTTTTGAGGAGAGCCATAAAGATTAACCCAGTTTGGACCAAAGGTTGGGTTAAACCCTGCATGGGGAAGTTAGAAAAAAAACAGGGGTGTTAAAATGTTAATGAACATGACATTATAACCCCATAATAATCGCCTTTCTTTTTTTGTTGTTTCTATGTTATGGAAGAGGTTTAGGAAATAAAACAGTTAACTGATTTTTCATTTTAATGAGTTTAATATGGGAGAAAAGTCAAAATTCTGACTTTAATCACAGAATTCTGAGATTAAACTATTGATTCCAAATCTAATTCAAAATCAGGTAACTCTTTTTTTTTTTTTTTTAGGTGGCCCTTATTCCTCTTCCGTACTTTGTTATGTCATGAAAATATAAAATGCAATATAACTAAAAATGCAATATAACTTTTAAAAAAGACTAGGTATCGCCCATAATATTAAAAATAAGCATTAGATGTTCCCCCTGCCCATTATGGACCGTGATAGATCCTAAAATGTTTCAGCAATCAGCACGCACAGAGCTTCAGATGTAATGATTAGGATGATTTACTATCAGGTGGCAACATAACTGGATCGTTGGTGCTGCATGGAGGAGCTGAGTAGCAGCAGGGAGTAGAAAGGAAAGGAAGATGTGTTTCAAACTGCAGTTCGGATGAAGAAATGTATTATTTACTGTAAAACAGCAGTCCTGCTTTAATATTTAACAGTTTACGGTGGAGAAAAAGGAGTAAGAAAAGGAAAAATGTTAACAGATGAATCAGGGTTTGAGAAATCGTTTAACAAAAGTTACACCACAATGAACCAAAGTTATCAGGAAAATGGAACAACAGCAGCAACATTTTCCATGGATAAATACGCATACATTAATATGACTTTGTTGGAGTTTTCAACTTTTCATGGTCTTCTCAGTGTGTTAAGGTTGAGAGATGCTTTGAGCACTCTTCCAGCTTCATACCGTTTCTGGTGGGGTCAGATATTTGCTGGAGGTCCAGAAAGTGAGTTGCCAAAGCTGTGTCTCCCATCTTGGCATCATCAAGGAGTTGGATTTTGATTCGCTGAGCCAGAGGAGGAAACTGCTCAATAAAGGAGATCTCTTCATTCCATACAGGGTAGCTGGTGGCACTGGCAACTGACGTTTCCCCCTAAAATGAAGGAACAGAAAGATAAATATTCAAAACGGAGCTAAAACAATGTAACCCATCAAAAGCCTAAAGTGTTATTCATGGCCAAAGCTGCTTTGTCTTATAAAGTCAAACAAGAGATATTACTACATTTGTATTTTCTATTTGTTTACCTGCTGTCCAGCGAAGGTCACCTGTACGTAGGGGTCAATGAAGACCGCTCTNCTATTTGTTTACCTGCTGTCCAGCGAAGGTCACCTGTACATAGGGGTCACTGACAGACATTTTGGCCATCAGTCCTGCTTCCATGGTTGGCAGACCCTCGGCTCTGTAGATTCGGACACGAAACCGAGCCCACGGACGCTCAGACGGCATGCCGCGAGGAAGCAACAGATGTCTTTATTAAACCACATCCAGAAAAAATATAATAAATGAATTAATATTAACCAGGCTCATTTTTGACAGAGAAGATTGATTACTTTTTTAAAATTTATTTGGTCTTTGAAAAACAAGACATAGACATTCAGAAATAACTGCCTATTTTATAATAGTACATTAATGATTTTGCTTCTAATACATTCATATCTAATGCAATGTGAGCATCAAAAAAGCACCTGCTGCTTCCTTTTTGATGCCTGTCCACATTAAGGTCTGATGCACCTCAAGAGCATGTTTGATGCTCCTGAGGCGCGTCCAGTAAAGTCTATCCAGATGCGTCTGATGCTTCTGCTGCTCCTGTGTTCAATGGCAGAGAGTGGCTACATTTGCTGTTACACGTGGGTAAAAAGTAGTTTTGATATGTTTTCAAGTGAGAAATTCCACCTCAAAACATCATCTGTGCAGTCAGTTCATCAAAATTACGATCCTGCCTTCGAATTTTACTTCCCTGTCGGACCAGCACGAAAACCCTGTACACTGGCGGTGCTCTGGCACTAGAAATCCCCTTCAACAACAGCCTCTTCCCCGGTCGCCTCTTCAGGGTTTTTCCCTAATATTAGTGGCGGCTGGAAGGCATTTTTTATGTACATAATCCAAACTGTAGGTTAATAAATAAAAGAATAATAGAATAATAATAAAGAATAATAAAAGTGAAGATATTTTGTCATTTGAAGTTAATTTAGGCATAAATAAACTGTTTCAGAGGAGTGATCATAGCAATCTGCATCAGCAGCGCTGTGTCTGTCTCTCTACCAGCCCCCAGATCAGCTTCTCTGATTGGTTGATGTGGTGCGTCGAGCAGCAATAGTTAAATTTTTCCAACTCCAGCAGAGGCTACGTATGAAGCATGTCACCTGCGTCAGATGCTCAGAAGCTCATGAGGCGCTGCTTCGGCTGCTGAGATGCTTCAAGAAGCGCTGCTCCTGCTGTTCAAAATGCACTGTAGGACCTTTTGATGCGCCTTTATGCATGTCAACCATTGACTTTGCATGTAAACCAGCTGCTTTTGCTGCTTTGATTGCGCATGGTCTTAACGTGGCATTAGACATCAAAGTATCTTCCGTAAGTTACTGAATATTGTTGAGACAGGATATATAGTAAAATGTGTCGTAATTATTTTTCATTTTTCAACGGAAAGAAACATAATGATTGATGATAGAGGCAGCAGATTGAATAAGAAAAGAAAACGGCCTGGAACATAATCATGAGGGATCCCCTATTAAAAAAGGAGTGATGCTGACCAGTACTGACAAAGATGGACAGAGAAAGAACTAATATTCTGGTGCCTGTAAAGTTGTGACTGCTAAACAATAAATACACTACTGCAAACAAAAAAATCTCTTTTGTATTTTCTAATCTTAATAAAGTAATAAAAATTGTTTTTTGCTGACTTTTCAATGTCTTCACTGCTTCCAGACGAGGTGTTGGATGGAAAACCGGACATGCGATGAGGGTCTCCCTTCATCAGCACACTAAGGCTGGCCTGGACATACCCCTTCACTCCTGACCGGGTGTCTGTTGGGTCAGTGAGAGGAGCCCACTTCTGGTAGAAACGATGGTCTGGAGAAGCAGAGGGGTGATGAATCATCACTGCAGAGGATTACATACGGTCTGAGGTGGAGTTATTTGTTCAGAGCTGTTAGCTGTACTCTACCTGGCTGACTGTAAACAGTGGAGATATCAATCTTAAAGGTCCCAATGTGTGACATCAGGAAGGCCAGAGTCCGTCTGTGGAACACCTGATAGGAGATAAACCAAGCAATCGCGATGGCCATTCTGCATCTTAAAAGTATAATAAAATAGATAAATAAAATAGGAACCTTTATCTCTATGACTTTGTCAAGGAAGATTTGTTGAGCCTCCTGAAACTCAAACTGGAAATTCTAGAAAACGGGAAATTAAGAAAAGAAGAAAAAACTTTAGTTTGCTAAATCTTTGCACATGTCGACATACTGAAAACACCTTATATCCAAAGTTAGGTATAATGGGGAATCCTTGATGCAGTGGACCTTTTCTATCTCAATTACCTTTAAAAATTGTTAAGGAGAGTTACATCATACACCTTTTAGAAAGTTGATGCAAGGAGATTTTCAGTTAAATCTGGTGGATTCCAGATTAATCAGATCTTTCAGCAGGATAATTATCCAAAAGCTGTGGTTAATTAAAAAAAACTCAGCTTTCTCCTTTGTCTAAAACACGTGGCAATCTCAGTGAGTGACCCAAATCCTCTGGAAAACCTGCGGCTGGGCTAAAGCAAAAAGAGCTAAAGAGGGACACTGCTCAGTACGATATGCTGTAGCGATGCAGTCTCTCTGCCTAACTGAATTAACCTGGAGTGAGATTTTTAAACAAAAGTGTAGGCAAAAGATATTAAAGTATAAAATCTGCACACAAACATAAATGTATCATTAGAACTGCGAATATAATACATTCAGAAGAATCAATAAATGGAAAAAAAAGAGTCATTTGAATACAGAACAATGAATAGATATATCACCATACAAAGCTCTCTATGAAGCATGACTCTCCTTTTTTCCACGCATTACTATGCAAACAGATTTCTACACCAGAAGTTCAGTTTTCTGCTGAACTCTCAGTGACTTACCTCATTGTAGAATGGGCAGTTGGTGGATTTCTGTGTTGCTGTGTGTTTTTTCTGACCTCCAACACTGATAAAAACTGCAGGATTAATATTTACGCCGACGAGCTTCTGAGCCTCTAGGATGTTCACATTCACCTAGATCCACAAACAGTCAAACAAACAGTCGAGGAGCTTAACTCCATAAACTTTGGGAGAGCCTGAGAGAAAGTTATGAATATTGTATATTGGTTTAACCTTATGTTGGCTGTATAGGGAGTTATAAAGCGACTGAACCCACCTGAAAGCTCTGGACTCTGGGCATTGCTGCAACAGCAGTTCTAGACAGCGGTCTCCAACGGCTGCAAACACAGAGAAAATCAGTGCGTTTGTCCTCTGAGGGGTTAGAGACAGAAAGGAGCACCAACCGACCTTAGGAGAGACGTGAATATGATGTCAGAGATCTCCATCTCCACAAGGTCATCATCATAATCATAATCTTCATCATCCTCGTCTTCATCCCCCGTCCGAATTAGGCTCTGACCGAGACGACGAGCATCTCTCTCCATTTGATTGGTTCGAGCCAACAAGGAACCTCTAAAGAAATGAAGAAAAGGAAGATTCACTTTTTGTCAGTGACTTTGCTGCAGAATGCAGGAAAGCACAAATGCACAACTGTTATGAGCAGTGTTTAAAATGTAAAGTCCAGGTGCTGGAAATTGTCAGCTTTATCTGTTTAAACCTGAATCAGAAAAACTGTTATCAATACAACAAAAAGTGAAAATATCTGCATAGGTTATAATAGCTGTGAAGATTGAAAGAGGGAAGAACTTAAACAGAAGAAAACGTGTTTGACACTGTTACACACTGGCCCAAGACAATTTTCCAGTCTTTCTTGAATATTTTTTATGTCTCGTGCCCTTATAATTTCAGACTGTATTCCATCTCAGTGGGATTTCATGTAATAGACCCACCACAAAACACAACTTTAAATTCAATTCAAAAAACTTTATTAACATTCAGTTATAAATAAAAGAGTTGTGTGTGTTTTTCAGTGTTTAGCTGTGTTTCTGTGTTTTCTACAGGCTCAGCTTTTACTCTTACTGGCTGTGCTCTCTTTCATCTTTTGCTTACAAACCTTAAGGGAAATTAAACTTTTTTTTGTAACCTATGTTGTGCAAATAAAGTGCAACATGATCCAACATGCTGCCACTTTAAGCAAAGCAGTTATCAATATTTGTGAAGTGAAATAAGAAAAGGAATTACACAAAAACAAAGAAAAGTGTGGCACTTTTTCAGTTGCCACATTTATATCACATAAACACGCTTTGATCTAATCTGGCAGTGTCCAACCCAGTCTTTAAGGTCCAGCATCTGACATGTTTTAGATGTTTTTCTTGGCCTAAAAAACCTGCATCGAATAAACTGTTTACTAGGAGGCCTCTGCAAACCTGATGACAAGCAGCAGAGAAAATTCAGCTGTTTAAAGCAGGTTTATTGAAGCTGGTAACATCTAAAACATGCAGGTTCTTCAACAATAGAATTAAAAGTTAATGTTAATCAATTTTCTCTAATAAAGTCATGACAGCAGACTGAATTTAATTACTTATATGATTGATGGCATAAGAGCAAGAGGAAGCTCAAAACAAATTCATGGCACACTTATTGTTTTTTATCCATTTTACTTTTTATTTTAATTATCTGTTTTTGGGGGTCGGTCTGTTGAATAAAAGCATCACAAAAAGTAAAAATATTTTAGGTGATCTGAATACTTTAGTATAGTACCATAGCTGTAATAGGATACTCTATATTCTGGCTGCTGAACTTAAGCAAACTGAAAAAAAAAATATTGGCCAGAATATCTGACTTGTTGCTGCAACAAGGAAGAAATAAATGAATGTGTGCCTTCTGTAAAGTCTCACCTCTCAATATCATCGAATCCATCATTCCTGATGACCAGTGCTGACCTGTGAATGAATAGAAAATCTATAAAAGAAAGATTAAAACCATCCTGCTGCCTTGCAGTGTGGCTTCATGTGAACTCTCATAAATATCTCTTTCCAGACACCCAGAGAGGCAATCTTTTTCTTTTAGTGTTTGTGAAAGCTAAACCAAACATTGTGCAGGAGGAGCGCTTCCAGATATCTATTATTTAGTTATTGAGGAACAACAGTTTCTGCGCTTTGTGATCTTTTCTGGTCAGGAGGCTTTTCCCCATAGAAGTCTCTCATGGATCCTTTATTTTCTCTATATATTTATCTTTTTGAACAACGAAGATAGATATTAACAGAATGTTCTGGGTGTTTTTATGACAATCAAACATTTATTCCAGGATTATTTATGACAGGCTGTGACAGGATTTATCACTGTTACATATTTTCCTTATTTGTGGAGTTTTCCAACAAAAGTCCAGGTTGCTTCAAAGCTTTATAGAAATAAAAGGGTCTAAAAATTAGCTTTTTTAATTTTGTTGAGTTTATCTTTGTCTGATTTAAAACTCAACAATTAAAAAACAACTGAAGAAATCTGCAAAGGTGCAAGCATTTCTCTAATAACTGTACTTATTGTTTGTTTCTAAGTAAAAAGTGTTAACATGATCTTACTCATCACTGTCTTCAACATCCAGGAAGTTGTTTCCATCCCAGTGTCCAACAGCTCCCTCCAATGGGTGGAAGCGAATCTCCAGCTCTATAATAATCTACAGACATACAGTAGAGATTAATGAAGCAGCTGCTACCAAACCCAAGACCCTTATAGGGAATGTTAATGGTTTTCTCACATCAGTCAGGGTAAAGCTGGCATCGGTCAGACGCTCCCGAAGCGTCAACCTGCCAGAGGTAACGACATGCTGGAGACTGATAACAAGCTGACCGAGCAGTCTGCAAACAAATAAGTCATCATCATTTAAAACAAATCAGTATAATGCAATATAAACAGTTCAATGTTTGCAGCTTATTTATTGCTAGAATTTCTTCATAGATTTTTTTTTTATCAGGTTCATATTTGATCAGTAATCAGTAGGTTTGGGAGGTAGAACCAACATACCTCGTAAATAAATACTGATTTATTTGCATGATTGTGTTTGAGTGTTTTTACCTGTTGGAAAAGAATTTGCTGCAGTTGTAAACGCTGACAGAAAACAGTTCCTCTGTGATCTCTTTGCCATAATGAGGCCAACGGAAATGCTGCATGCAAAGAATGACACTGATTATAGCTTTTGGAAAAGATTGGAACATGTTAATAAATCCCTGGTTCTCTCTAACTGTGCCAATGCTTCAACCTCCAAACTAAAACTATACAATACAGGAGAGACGGCAAAAAAGTCAGGAGGTCAACCACCAAACGTGAAATAATCCCATTTATCAACAAGCACTTCTTCAAAATCGCCAAGATCTAAAGTCAACAAAGATGATTAAGGATGTTTTTCTCCAAGCCTGGATTTTTATCATTGCAAAGTCAATGTCAAGTCAAGTCAAGCAAAGGTTAAATAGATAAACTAAAATATGTTAGTTATATTAAGTAGGATCTATAAGTAGGATCTTTAGCAATTACATCAAATAAAATAGCATATGTTGAAATAAGAAACTCTTTATTTAGCCATAATTGTTTGTAAAATCTGAGAACGATATAAACCTTTCATATATGTCAATATATAAGATCCTTGATTATTTTTTTGTTGTATCACACCAGGGGAAAATTGTAACCTTATTTAAACCAACATTTTGGGGGGGAAAAAATGCCCCTGAGAGGCTAATGCTGCGTTCACACCAAACGCAGCAGGAGCAGCAAAAACACGTCTGCTGCTTCATTTTTTATGCTTGCACAAGTTTAGTTCTGACGTGCAGCAGGAGCTGCAAAGCTGCTTATCGTCCGCCATAGTTGTAGTTTTCTTTCTGCTTCTGTGTAGCAAGACGCAGAATAGTGACCTTTGTCAAGTATTAATCGCGTTCAGGTCGGATGAATGCGACCTGGCCGTTCACACACAGGTCGCATTTGAAAAGATCAGAACCACATAGCCAACTGGCCTGGGTTTGATTGGAAAAAATTGGATCTGTGTTGTTCAGACTGTTATGAAAAGATCAGATCCAGGTCGCATATGGGCCAAAAAAATCAGATTTGGGTCATTTCAGGCTGCAGTGTGAACGTAGCCTTTGATGCGCCTTGACGTGTGTCAACCATTGGCTTTACATGTAAACTAGCTGCTCCTGCTGCATTTGGTTTAAATGCAGCATAAATCCTCTTCTCTGCCTACATCCCTTAGAATATTTTTAATTTATGTGGTACTGGATAGGAGTTCAGAGAAATTATATAGTAGAACATTTTATCAGATAAATTCCATATTGATGTCGATCATGTGTCTATCATTATATAAATGTTATTGTTTATTTCAAGTTCTAATTCTCACACTGTACAGAAATTAGAAACACATCTACTTAATCTGTGTTTATTGTTTTTGTGTTTTTCTGTGTTCATGTTTGAAAATCAAATCATAGCATAGTATTTAGACATAAACAGCAAAAAAAATAAGAAAGGTGCAATAGCCTGTGTTGGAATATGTACAACTGTTTAGTCATTCTTGGTAGTTATGCATATCTTTGACCATCTAAAAGCAAACCACAGCTTTTTTATGCAATATTTGCTTAGTCTGCCATCCAAGAGCTCCTCAAATACATCTGACTGTGAGGAGATCTAATGTTCAAAGCAGCTCTCTTCAGCTGAGGTGAGTTTTTTGTAGATTTAATGTGAGGTAATAAACAACTGAGGCAGGAATCCAAAAATCCAACAAGAAAAAAGTTAAACAACCAGAAACCACCAGGGGAAAACAATCATGACGTGGTAAAACACGGAAAGACGGAAGGGGTTGAAGTTTGACGAGGAACCAGCACTGAGGAACTGCATAAGGAGTGTATTTATGGGAGACTGAACAAAGAGAGGACTAATGAGCAGATTGGGAGCAGGTGTGATCAGAGCAGACAGGAAAGGAGCTAGGGAAAAGGAGGACACAAGAGGGCAGCAGAGGGCAACAAATAAAAACCTGAAGACTCAAAAATAACCAGAAAACATAATAAAATAAGAATTAAACCGCTAAAACCAGAGAATGTGGAGCAAAGTAAAAACTGAAAACTCAAAAGGAAACAAAACAGAACCAGAACTGTGACAGAGACGAGAGTTTGATGCTAAGTTCCTTTGAAGATGTTTGTTTTTGTATGTGCAAAAACCATTTAGGACTTACACTCAACCGTTCCACTTCGGTAAAAACTCTTTGCTATTTTAGCAAGAACTGGATCTTGTCTTACTCCAGTCTCTTAGTGAATTTAGCTCCCTCTGGTCTTTCCAGTAAAACAAGATAAAAATATCTGCTTGTATGTTTTTCTTAAAAAAACAAAAAACAAACAGAAATTTAAAAACAGAAAATGTCAGATCTGAATGAAAAAGAAAAGACTGCTTCTATCTTTACTTTGGACAACTTCCAGAACAATCATTAACTTCCATGTGTGAGAGGAAGGCACACACACAAATACAAACCTAGCACCACCTAAAGAACAAACACTTGACTCAGTAGCAAAGAAATATTACTTAGGATCCGTTCCTCACATCTATTCACGTCACACAGAGGCTACATGACTTACTGTAAGCTGTCTTCATATCAACAAACAGGAGACGGGAGAAAGAAATGGGCAGCAGCCGCAGTTCAACAAATATTGCCTCAGGTCATAAAGTTTAAATGTTTGTTTTTAAGAAACCAGACAATCAGACTCATGTCCTTCTCTGAATAACATGATTAAATTGTAAAATTTGCTAAATAAATAAATTGTTGTAGTAACCCGGAGGTTTATTTGTGTTTCTTTGGCCAGAGACTATGTCTGCAAATATAATTTTGTTTTATAAAAAAACAAAAATTCAGACAGGATGGTAATGGTAAAAGGAGTAGGTGCAGAGCTGAGGAGGAATTATGCATCAAACTCGTCTTACAGCAAACACATAAATAGATTTATGAAGTAAAACATCCTGACCACTTATAAATACAATGGGACATTTATATCCCCACCATGTGGATTTCTCTTCTACAATACTATCTATAATGGAACAAAATATATTTTCTGTGTACTTTGCAAGTCAAAGGATATCATAAAAAAGTCTAGAATTATTTCTCTGTAGAGAATAGATGTTTATTTTATTCTGTATTCATTCTGAAAATGATTGTTGAACCATGTTGTTTCAAAAATGTCAAAGGTAGGTATGATTGTATTTGAGTTTTTACCTGCGCACTTCAGGAGGGTTATATATTTATATATTTACATTACATATATATATATATATAAATATATATTTATATATTTACATGACATATATATATATATATATACATACATACATACATACATACATACATACATACATACAGCTAAATGAATAATTAGGAATTTGGTACAGTGATGTAATGTGTTCAAATGTGAACAGTTTGGCAAATACCCATAAACACGCATTTGGAAAGACCCTATTTTATCTAAACAGAGTAACTACAGCTCATTATGAAATCCTTTACTCATCTTCAAACTTTTGACCACTTTTTTATGTCAAAAAAACAAACCTCAGAATTTAAATGTGATTTATATATGGTCCATAGCAACTCAGGAGGAGCTGCAGAGATCCAAGCCTCTGTTGTTGTTTTTTTAATTATTATTATTATTTTTATGGATTTCAAGACAATAAGAAAGCCATTGTTGGAGAAACACCTATAAGATCTCAAAATGGAATTTGCTACCATGCAGGAAACATAGCAAACATGCAGAAGAAGATGAGATTGAAATCTGGGTTAATATTAAGTAAGACTTGTTGGCCCAGCATTGTCTTCCATGCTACTAACATAATGTATTATTTGGCTTTTATTTGTGTATAAAATGGTTTTCAGGTAAACCTGTATTTAATAAGACATTTATTTTTGTTTCTAGAAATTGGACAGTTCCTCTTTTCAAGTGATGTTCAGCAACCCTAGCTATTGTGCTCCACGTAAGATGCTCTGTGTGGAGAAAAAATATTCCTGCACACCCAACTAACCCCACCATCCCTACCGTGGGACGGGGGATTGGTATTTATGCTGGATTTTCTTCTGCAAGAGCAGGGAAGCTGTCCGGAGTTGATGTGAAGCTGGATTAAGTTAAACACAGGTCCAGCTTAAAGGAACACTTTTAATTAGCTGCAAAAGACTTCTAATTGGAGGAGATCATCCAGCAGGACAACGACTGTAAACACAGATAGAGCTGTTAGGTGTCTGTAGAGATACAACCAGAGCTGTAGGTTTGGTCTACCAAGAGTTGATCTAGAAATAAGGTTCTTGACTCAGCAGCTTTAGCATGCATACTGACCTCATTGAAGATGGCGATATTCTCACATTGCAGGGCTCTGGTTTTATGGGTAAAACCTGGAGGATGGATAGATTGAACTGGTTACAACAGCAACAATAGTTTTTAGCCCCTCTGTTTATTATCTGGTCAATGGGATTCAAACAAAGCTATCAACTAAAATAAAGGCCCGAAATCAGTGGACCATTTTAAATTAAAATAACCCTTTACATCATAGTATAGTAATGTTAAATAAAAAATATATTAAAAGCATGTATGTGATTAAAACTGAGATTTGTATATAATTTTCTCTCTTTTCTTAAATAGGGAAACAATAAAACCCAGAAATAATCACTGTGTAATTCAGCCATGAGACTGGGATCACACTTATTTGTGTATAATGCTGAAATGTAGTGAAATGGAACCAAATCTAAACAGTTATATATTAAGCATCATGAAGACAGAAAGAGGATTACCTCTGAAGGAGAGTTCAACCTTTCTGTCAGAACGTCCCGGCAGATTGGAGATCCTCCTCAGATCCACGCTGATGGACATGATGGCCTTCACCTGTCTGATCTCCTGTTGGGCTTCCTAGCATCAGGGCTGCATATTTTAACTCTCCTCTCTTCAGTGTTGTTGGAAACTAACCCAGTCTGCTCTCTGAGTGTACATTTGTACATGTAAGCTTGTTAAAGTGTGTCGTTGGGCAGGTCTTTCTAATGTTTGATAAAGCAAATAGTGGCTCAACTCGTTTCCTCCTCGTACGTACAAACAGACAGGCCAAGTGGAACAAAAAGGAACTTTTAAACCTTTATTCAACCAAAACTAACTTGTTGTGACTTAACTAATGTATTGTGTGTCTATATATATATATATGGATTCCATATATATAACACTGTAATGCTGTTAGTTACACTTTCAAACTAAAACATTTAAAAGTCTCTGAAATTAGATTGCAACATCAGCAAATCTATTGGACACATTAGCTTTTTTATGACCTGCTGCTACTGGATCAGAGACTTTTCTTTGAAGGGTCAGACTTTAAGCCACAACATTGGCACACCACAGGGTTGTGTACTTAGCCCCCTGTTGTACACCTTTTTCACCGATTAGTAGGTTTATTTTACTGTTATTACTTTTATTATCTCATCTTGTGCTTTTCTTTGTTTTTATTCAGTCATGCAATGTTGGCTGCTCTACAGTATTTGAAAGAGATTTGAAGTTTCTGATTGACTGATTAAGCAACCACAGTAACATGGCTGTCCAATTTGCCAATGAAACCACCGTGGCTGGATTCACCTCTACTGGAAATAAAAACAGTAGAGGGACGACTCCACCTGGATGATGGAAGGATAACAGCTTGATCATCAACACCTCTGCATTCACAGAGGTGTTCATCACCATCAAATGAGATTATAGCCAGCTTCAAGTTTCTGGTTGAGAACATGCATGTAGACTTTAAATGGAGCTCTAACACCTCAATAATCATGCAGGTTATGTCTCCATTTTTTTAAAAAGAGCTCAAATAAAGGCAGGAGCTGCTACCATGTTGGCTGAGCTGGGTGTACTAACTTACTGCATCTTCTGTGTGCAAGCTGCACCACAGAAGCTTATCAACCCCACCAGGATGATCATTAACTACCTCTACCTTCTCTAAGTGACCTCTCAGCGTGCTGACAGACTGAACACACCCAACACAAGTATTTAAGCCACTGGCATCATGGGTGGGTTTGCAGAACTCTGAGGTCCCACAGTAACATGAAGGACCAGCGAAAGTTTTTACTATAATGAAATAACTAATCATTGCTTTATTCCTTTGAATTAGGCCACAGGCAGAAATATACACCTGTAATTTATAAAGTGTCTTTTATGTTTTTTAGTGACATGAATTAACTATTTATGCATTTGTTTTAATCTGCATACAATAAAATTTTTAAGAGTTTATGTAAATTATTTAAACTTTTTAAAATATATTGTCTTTTTTCAGTTTTCTGTAGGTTTATCTGAAATGATTTATTGAAGAACATTTCTGTTATAATCTAGTTTTCTAAACAATGTCAGACTTTAGTTCTAAAACTAAACTGTGAACTTAAAGGTCTGAAGTTTAACTAAAGGATGTGTTCAATAAATCTTCATGTTGAGAATATATTCACATAATCTGTTTGCATTCCTGGGGGAAAATAGGTCCCCAAGTTTGGTCATTTCTTCAAAAACAAGAGCGTATAATAAATCTTTAAGGAGGAAATATTTGCTTAAAACCTTTTTTCTTTTTCTGTTACATTCATAAATATGCTCAGTCAACTCATACTTTGAGATGGAAACCTATTCCTTTGAAGTCAAACAAAAAACGGAAAGGATAAAAAGTCTGAAACTTCAAATAGAAATTCAATTCATATCTAAATGAATCAGGAGGGTAAATTCTTTTTAAATACATATTATATAAAGGATTCAGCTATTTTAAGGATTTCTATTGAACATTTATAGATATACATTTCAATAAAACCCATTATTCAGTCCCTCAAGGGGAACTTCGCTCATTTACCGTAGTATTGTACATTTTCTTAAAACCTGGACTGAATAAGAGGTTTTTGAAGATAATAAAGTTATTGGATTCATTTAACTCACTTTGATTAATAAATGGACACGTAAAGAAATCTTTGTTTACCAAATATATTTTATTTATTTTTGCCAACATGCAGCGTTTTAACAGACAACTGATTTTCTATAATGTTCAGTTTACACTGGAGCGTTTGGTCAATGATGCAGAAATCAGACTGGAAGACAAATAACAGGCTGTAAAGATTTTAACAGAAAACCTTTTACTTAATAGGAATCCAGCATCACAACATCTAGACAAGATTGCATTGAAAAAGTAGCAGATAAACAGCTTTTATGATTTCCAAGACACCATGTGAGTTTTTACAAGGAGTCAAAGCAGCAGCCCTACAGCTGAATGCAGGCACATATGTAAGCATGAGAGATTAAGGTATAAAACTGGCTTCCAGTAAAAGGTGACAGATAAATCTTAGCTTAAAGTGGCTCATGACGCTGACAGATGTTAATACTAAAGATACAGATGATAAGGAACACTGCATACACGCTTCTCTCCTCATCAATAAAAACTATTGTATAAAAATAAAAAGGCACAGGGAAAAGAATATGGCTGCGGATAAAAAGACGATACTTAGCTCAAAGAGAGGAGTTATCTGTCAGTTTGTGTAACAAGCTATTTTTAGCACCATCCCAAAGTCTTTCAGCAAATATTTTGTGCGAATATGACGTTTATTTAATCTGATCCCAAATATGATCGACTACTCTACACAAGTTACATAAACAATGTTGGAAATAAAAGAAAAAATTATTCTTCTTTCTAACCCAAATGTAAAGAAAATGAATCCAAAGGAAGTGGTGATTTAAAGTAAAACAGGTCTGTAAACATTCCAATAAAGGAACATCCTCCCCTTTGACCATGCTTAAAAATAAAGACAAGAATTTAGTGGTTATCATCATTTTAGCTGCGCCCTACCATACTGATAATACCGGTAAGTGTTTGACAGTAAAAAAAATAATAATAATTTGACACATTTAACATAATTTAAATCACTTGGGTCTTTTTTTTCTTTTTTCTTTTTAAACTTTCAAGGAAACAAAGATTCCTTCAGACTGATCTACTGGAATTAATCGGTAAATTAATAACATATGGCACTGATAAAGTACAGCCCTGGACCAAATCCCTGGTTTATTTTGATGCTCTGTCAAAATACACACCCGAAAAGATAGAAGGAAACAATTCACAAAAAAATATGAGGAATCAAATGCACCATTTAGACACAACAGAAAAAAACAAAACAACAACAACAAAAAAAATGTGGGTTTGATGGTCTGTATCATGTTATTTTATGTTGTATTTTACATATGGCAAATCTGAGTATAGGTTTTGGCCCCATTAAAAATAAAAATGCAATCAGATTATAATCACAACTCAGAAATCAATGCAACTTCAGAACTCAGCAAATCAAGCTGACTTTTACCTTTCAGCCATTTGCTGGATCTCTAATCTAAAGCCATGTTGGCTGAGGAGCATCCAACAAGCAGCGCTACATTCTAAAATAAGGCAACAACAAAGTTTTCAGTAAGGCTTCGGGTGCAAAGATGATTGAATTAGTCATTCCTGATCATATTTCAGCATTTTTGGCAAAAGCAATGTGCAAAGTGTTTGCATGCAGAGCTGGTGAAAGTGCAGAAGGTCCTGGCAATAACTGGAAATGAAAAATAAAGAGTGGTGAAAAACCTGATCCTGCAATTCCACAAAGGTCCACTAGATGGAGATACAATCAGATGACAGATGTGTTTTCTGTTATGTTTCCCAGATGATACAAGACATGCATAGTTGGTTTGGAAGCGGCACATTTTATAATCTAAGTTATCATTTAAGTGCAAAAGAGAGATCTATGTGGAGCATAAAGCTACTTTAAAAGGAGATTTCCCTCAAAGTTTTCTAATAGGCGTACAGAGTAACTACTGCTATGTGATTAGTTAAAACTTCATGTTAATTCTTGATGAATGGTTAATTGCGAGCTGCTTCCTACAAAAGTGCTGTAATCTGGAATGAGATTAGACTCGAATTTTCCGTGTAGGTTTGGGGATGTGAGACTGGATTTAGAGAAGCACGGCGGGTGTTTAGGACTTGGGAGCAGGTTGTTGTTTCTGTGGTTCCAGGCCTCTCATTTTGAAGTAAGAAACCAGCTGTTTGGGGACCTCAGCGAGGACAGACTGAGCGAGCGCTGCCATGGGGGCCTAGGCAAAGAAAAACAAGGCTGTCAATGTAAATCCAATCTTTTTTTCTTATAATATAAGCAATTCCACCAAAAAAGTGTTTTCATTTTGTACAAAGAAAGCACTGAAAAGGCTTTTAATCTTAAAATTTGTTGTTTTTTTTGCAGTGGTCTTATAAAAGGTACAAAATCGCAGCAACAAAACAAAACAATTATGATGCTTTTTTGCCTTGACTGCAGAGTTTAGGAGTTGATGCAACCATTTTAAAACCAACTTTAAATGGTGGACAGTGTACAAAGCAAACTAGTGGATCAATGTCAAGGCAAAGTTTCTTAAATACCTTTAAACCCTTTATTATGTCATTTAATAGTAGGTTGGATAACTTCCTAGCTAACTGAATTTAAATTTCATTAAATTTCTTGATTATCAGAAACATTTGTTATCTGACTGGAGCCATAAAGAGAAAGATTAAAACTGTAGTACTACAGATTACTTTCCCTTTTGTCTTCAAATAAAACACGCACAAGAAGAAAGAAAATATATACTACTAACTGCACAAAGATCATTTTAAATAGAAAAGTACAATTTTCACTCAAATGTTTGAATTTCAATGGTGCAAAATGGAAAAATTATTAAAACATTTCCTGCCCAAAAATAGGGAATTCCAATTGAGAAAATTGCTATTGACCTCAAAATCCAATATGTCTGCCTTAAAGTATTTGTTATGCTAAAATCATTGCCTAACAGCAGTAGAAGAAAAGGTGTTTAGCCTTTATTTTCAATGAGCATCGTCCTCTTTGTTTCAGGTGAGAACTGAGGCATGTTCA